AATTATAATAATCATAACAATAATTCCATATAAATACTATTGAACTGTTGCTCCACAGAAACTTTTTTTAAAGTTCAACACAAGAGTTGAAAGAAGAAAAAAATTACAAATATTATTTCGGGGTGACAAAGTTTCTGCAGCATCAGTCCCAGAGGAAACATTAACGTACATTCATTCAGATGACATTACTGCGCGAAATAAAACTGCCCAGAGGAACTTTTAATGCATGCACATTTTTATAACAAACATTATAATCGGAATTTTCTATGCATTTAATAATAATAATAATAATGGAAAAAGGACAACAAAGTGGCACATGCATGTCTTGGATTAGTTGATATGTTGACATCAAAGTTGGGAGAAATTTTTATGAAGTTTAAAATAAAAATAAAAAGTGACAGGCCTCTGGGACAGACAGGACCGACTGTATATCCGACTGTCCACACACACACACACACTGCTGTCCCCCAACAGAAAACCATCAGTCTGCGTCAAACAGGCCAAAATATTTGCCAGTGTTGGAGAAGTAGATGTAAGGCGCGGCGTTCGCAGTCGGGTAGACAACGGGGAAAGGCATGGGTAACAAACATCCACCCAACAGACTGCTGTCTTTGTAAAAAGTCGGTAATTGCACGTTTTTTCCTGCGTCCGAGAGGTGCTCGGCGGCCAGCGGCCCCTCCATGTCCGTGGATAGCTGTCTCTTCAGCTTGTTGCGCCGGTTCTGAAACCAGATTTTAACCTGGGTCTCGGTGAGCTGCAGAGAGCTGGCGAGACACGCTCTCTCCGAGCTGCTCAGATACCTCTTCATGTCAAAAGTGGCCTCCAGCTGAAATATCTGTCTCTTGGAGAAGATGGTGCGCGTTTTCTTCTTGACCATGGCTTTGGTGTCCGCGCCGGCCTGTTGTTGCTGCTGCTGCTCGGACGCGTCCTCGGCGGTGTGCGCGCTGTGAGCCCCGGGACAGGAGCCGGCGGTCAGCGGCGGTGTGTTTTCCCCGCGGTCCGCACGATGGACTCTGGGCTTCGTTTGCGCTGTGAACAAAGCGACACAACGTGCTTTGATGCAGCGGTAAAGGCAAACTTACATACATAGTTGTTTTTTCATTTTTCTTCTGCGTGCAAACACATGCGAAGAAGCTGCATAAAAATGACTGTAATCTGGTTAATACATAAACCAGTAATCCGCCAGCTCCACAGCTAATGAAAACTATTTAGGTAAATTAGGTAAATCATCAGTTTGTCGTTTTTTAATCCACATTTACGCATCAGTTTACCTCTAAACAGCTCTATCAGCCTCAAGGTGTGTCTACTCCTTCTAAAACTGTATTAGTCATTGTAAATAAAGCTCACTGGAGAGACTCTGTATAAATTCCCAGTTACCTGTCTCCTCTGCTCCGCTGTCGTGCCTCCTCCGGACGTCCCACACCTCATCGCACCGCGCTTGGAAATCCTTCTTACATCCACTGTCCCTCTGCTCCTTTGACCCGTCCAGGTCTCCGTCGTCCCGCTGCTTCAGGTTGAGGATGTTGTCGATGGTGAACGTCAAAGAAGCGCTCCGACTCGGGGCGTCCTCTTTCCTCATATTCCCCGGCATTTCATCTGCTCCTCCGAGATTTCCGAAACACCGACGCGCCTCCGGACGCTCCGAGCACCATTGCTCCTCGGCTGCGACTAGAGCACAGACTAGAGGAGCCGGTGCGACGTTCTTCAACGACCCGGAAGACTGCGGTTTAGCAGCTTTTGATTGGTGAGGTTGTGGGGCAGATGAGGGCGGGATGCAGATTTACGTCTGGCTGCCATATTGCTGCTTTAAACTCTTTTCTGTCATCGAAATTCATTCCTGCTCGCTTGATGCGCCTAAAACCGAGCTCCTTTTGAACTTCAGAGTCGGAGTCTGCATCACTGTGGGGTTGGTTGATATCCAAAGTGGGTCATGAGATGTCAAAGAGTGATATATTGTTGATTTTCTTTTCTACTGGGGTCCTGAGAATTATAGGACCTAAAGGAAGAGTTCAGGGGCCACATGAGCTTAAAAACATAGTTTCCTCCGCAGCAAAAGTCTTTAACCTCTCTGATGTTTAAATATAATCTTGTGCCTGTTCTACTGTACACTTTATTGTCTCTTTAATCCAATATTTGTTCATAATATTTGTCCATAACCATAAAATTAAGATATGGTTATGGATTAAAGAGACAAGATTATAATAAAGCCTATGTACATCCGCCATGCATTTTAAAGCTAAGTTTCTTACTTTGCAATGAATGCAGACAGTGTGACAAAGGAAGAAACCACAACACAGTCTGTGCATATATTTTATTCACACGTGAACACATCAGTGTACAAAAGTCTGTATTAAAATCCTCTTTAAATAAAAAAAAATGTGTCAATGAATATTGCTAATTACATGCTCACAGCTATCAAAAGATTAAAAGTCAAAAACACCAAAAGTCTTTTGCATAAATGATCAAGTTTCTACATTTTGTAGACCGGTCCAAGGATACAGTGCATCATATTCCCCAACTTATATATGCATGAGCTCACGTAAGGGTCAAAAAGATAAAAGGCTCATGAAGTAACATTGGGAAAAGGTTGTATTTCAGCCTTTATAAAGAGAAAACTGCATGAGAAATTGTGCGTGTGTAATAATATGTGTGTTCTGTGTTGAGGTTACTCTGATAAAAAGCTGAACTAACCACCGGAGTACAGATTAAAAACAGACAGTTTGAGTTTCACAGTTTCCTGCTTTGAATCTATACTCAGATGTTTTCTTTGTGTTGAGCGTTGATAATATTTGTGCACTAATTCTTTATTCTAAATCTACTACAGATTTTTCCCCCTACACATCCTCAATCTTGAAATTCTCGTGCAGTTTTACAAAGGCTTCATTTCATAAGCTCAAAATCGTATTGACCCTTATTTGATCCCATATGTGTGGATCATCCATACAATTTCTGTGAAAAATCAGGACTAAATAGAGCTATACTTGAAACCTGTGTGACCTGGTGTGAAACGTCCTCCATAGAGGCGTGAGGACAGGACTGTGGGCAGCTTAAACAACCAACATCATCATTAGTAGTCACTACAGTTAGGACTGAATCTCAAAATTGCTTAAGTTCAAAATAAAAAAACGCTACTAAAGGGGGGAAAGTTTGTTGTTTAAAGGATTTTAAAGCAGCCGTTGAAGGATCGTGATTGCCTATGAGATGAGTGATTCACCTTTAATCTGAATCTGGGTGCATTTATTGAAGTTCCTTCTAGAAAACCTCTAAAAGAAGCATTTAGTCACAGGATGACTGTTATTGTCTGACTTGACAGGATCTGAACAAAAATGTTTTTGCAGCATCTTTATTTGATTGATTGGTTTCACAAAAGAGTCACAGTTATCCTCGGCCCTTAAAGTCACACCAGTCCAGTCATCTGTGGTGTTAGGAACGACACCGGATGGGTGAAGTGGGAAGTCAATGGATAGCTGATATGACTGGAGAAACCGAGCACTGGTTGCGACACTTGAGACAGGCTGGTCAGTGTCACGGGCCCGGTGACGCTATCGCGATACAACACAGGAACTCTGACGACCCTCTGGGCAGGGTAGGGGACGGCGGCGCTGCTGGCCTCCATGTCTGCAGCGATCTGCCTCTTCCACTTGTTCCTGCGGTTCTGAAACCAGATCTTCACCTGGGTCTCGTTGAGCTGCAGCGAGGCGGCCAGCCCGGCTCGCTCCGAGCTGCTCAGGTAGCGCTTCAGGTCGAAGGTGGACTCGAGCTGGAACACCTGACTCCGGCTGAACACGGTGCGGGTCTTCTTCTTTCGTACCATTTTCATGTCACCTGAGGAGGAAGAGGGAGAGATTTTACTGAAAGTGCAACTCTGCTAACAGTGTAGCTTTAATGGGGTGATAATCTGTCACGGTTATATCGCGATATTGGTATATATTGTGATAAAGTGAAAACTAAAGTAACGGAAGTCAATTGAGAAATAGTTTATTGATAAAACAACCAGATGAGAACATCTTTTGGCCAATCCAGGAAATGAAATACCTGGAAAATCAATGTGTTTTTATTCAAAATGACTTAATATAAACAGATCTAGCGCCAATTCATAACAGAAGTTATCTCAGGACACTTTTCAAATGGAGCAGGTGTAGACTGTACTCCTTTTTAGAAAATAATTTACAGAGACCCAACAGTTCCCACCATGAGCAAGCACTTGGCGACGGCAGCAAGGAACAGAAACCTCGGACAGACCCCTCGGCTCTAGGGGGGTGGTCGTCTGCCTTGAAACAAACCTGGCAGATGTTTATAAGTAGAATTCATGCTATATTGTTTTCATTTAAGTTTGTCAAATTATACACATATACATTATTATACACATATTTTGATGTTAACATCAGATTTTGGTGGTAGCTGCAATAAAGATGTAGATAGCAGCAGGACTAACAGGCTGTAGATACTCAACACTTTTTTTTGTTGTTGTTATCAGCCAATATGCCATAGGTATCAGGTAACTTACAAAGCACAGTGTAGGTTTACTGGTGGTTTAAAAGTGTAGAACAGATTATTATTAGCTTAAACACAAACTATTCAGCCTGCAAATAACTTTGTCTCACTTAACTGTATATTAAATGTAGATAATATACAATGGCACGTCCATGGTTGATGGGGGAACCTATCAAGAAAATAACAAAATACAGAAGAATCCTTTTTTTCTCCAGTTTTAAATGAAGTGGTGCCTCAAGTGTTTCTCTCAGTCGCCTCAGGAACTCTTAGCTACACCCCTGCAACTTAATATAAAACTTATATATGTGGACAGCCATTGCTGAAGCCCCCTGTCAAGACAAAAAAACATCTGGCTTATCAGAATAAAAACCACCAGACCAAAAAGTAACACATTTAGTAATAACAATTTAATAAAAGACTTTCAGGAGGAGAGCGCATGCGTGGTGTTGAATGCCCTCTTGTGCAGGCCGCAGAGCAAAAGATGCACTATGTATGTTTTAACGTCAGGAGGTGTCAGTGTACTCTGGCCGCACCTGTATCACAGCTGTCGTCTCGAGAGAAGCAGTAGGAGCGCGCGTCGTCCTCCTCCCTGTCATCCGTCAGACTATCGTCCCCTTTCTCCTCCGGCTCATCGGTCTCCTCCGCCCGCCCCGTAGAAGTTGGGGAATCCCGGTCGCACGTCGGCACGGAGTCTGCGTGTTCGTCCCTGTACGGCGGACCTACGAGGAACGTGGGGGGAAAAAATAGCCAACATAAATCCTGCACACTGTTCATGCTTCAGTTCGCTCACAGCGAGCCAGCAGCAGGACAATATCTGCCATCTTTCACAGTTTGCTCCATATGTGCGCCACCCTGCTCCCTGTCCCTTACACAGATTATAAATACGCATCAGCTCTCCACTGCTGGGCTATTTGAAGCAGCAGACTAGTGAGATTGTTGTGTGGATGCCAAACACTGTTGGCTCGCACTAGGCTGATAATTGGGGGAGTTTTACGCATGGAGGAAGGGACAGTAAATGTGTCATGTCCACTTGTGGCCTATTGAAGAACCTAGAGTTCGGGACTTTTACGCACGGACTGAGGGGTTTTATTGTACCAGCCTATTAAATCTGTAACTGTCTTGTTTGAGCACTGTTGCTGTCACGATCCGGATTTGAATCGACCCTTTTACACTAGGTTATCAGGCAAATGAGAGCAGACTCTGTTCTACACATATGGACAGATTCACTCACTTCTCGAGGCGCCGTGCGCGGTGTTTGGCGATGTCCCGCTCCAGCTCAGCGCTTCACTGTCGCCCACACGTCTTGTTTCCAGTCCCGGGCAGATCACCGGGCAGATCACCGGGCTGTGGACGGTAACTTTAAAGCTCGGGGTCTCCGCCTGCTCCTCCGCTGAAGCTGCTCTGTGTGTAGTCCCCAGTAAATTCTCAATGTAAAAAGACGAACCTCTCGACGGAGGACCTAGCTTCGATCTCGGAGCTTTATCGTCAAGCATTTCGACTTTTTCTGGCCGTCCTCCAGGCACCTTGTTTTTAAAACAAACAAACAAACAAGAAAAAAACAAACAACAGATTTGGATGTTTATAAAATCATTCCCGGGAATGTGTCTTGATTCCAGCCAAGAGTGTCTTCTGCTCCGCGTGAACCATCCCGACGCTGCCCATGAGAGCAAGAGAGAGAGCCGAAACCTCAGCTGTAAGAGATCCAGACAGAAATGTCTCGTTGAAGGGACGATGAATTACTCCAGGAAAAAAAAAACAACAACTTCTAGACAGTCTCGTTCTTCGGAGCCTCTCTCGTAGGCTGTGTGATCGTCTGCCTTGAGGAACCGAGAGATGCTGTATTTAGGTCAACTAGGGAGTAAACCAAAGCAGAGACAGTGTTGTCCTCAGGGCTGGAGATGGAGGAAAGCTTCATGGAGAATGGCACAGTACCGCCTATTGGTTACATCTGTCCATGCACACTTTATATTTACTACTGACTGGAAATCAGCTTACTCTCTGCAATTTATAAGCCAAGGCAATAATTCAAATCCCAGTTTTGTGCACAAAACTGCACATGCATGTGTCGCGACATGAGCTTTATTGTAATTTATTATTATTATTATTATAAGTTGTGTTTTTTGGGCCATGGAAGCTTCTTTCAACTGTGTTGAATGTCCATTAGGCCTATAGAGAGCAGGGTCGAAACGGAATGTCACGAAAAGTAGGTGATAACAAGAAAACACCGCCCATACTTTATGTCGTCCGCTCAGTTGACAAAAACAAACACACAGATGGTTTAAAAGAGCTAAAGCTTGAAACTTAATAAGAGCTTGGTATGTAGGCCTACAATAATTGTTGTTATTTATATTATTTGGAGGATAATTAATAGCTGAACAATACTAATCATGTTAAATAAGAGTAGTTTTTAAGATACAGGCTACATTAACTGCCTGCAGGAAACTCCTTTTTCCTTTGATATTGGAGAAAGAGTAATTGATGGACCCTTATACAGCTGACCAATAATAGTGTTTTTAACCAGCTGCTATACTGACTCTTTATGTCAGGTGCAAAGTAGTTTGATTTGTTTTTATTCACATTTCACATTTTTAAGTAGTTTATCTAAATGTTAAAATCCACTTTTGTGTCTAATGTCAACATTTTGCTTTAAAAAAAATATTACACTGTTTAAAGATCCCTGAGACATGTTTCAAGACAATCTCATATAAAAAGTATTAATCATTTCTGTCTAACAAGGATTTTCCTTTAATTACGTAGTTAATTGTTTTTATTATATATACTCCTTTTTGCTCATTGAAAAAAACCCTCTCTGAATATGTAAATATTAACTATAAGACACAAGATGTCTCCTACTTCACTAAAGTCCATTCTCTGCGTTTGTTCACTGGAGGCTTCAAGTTGCCACATTACACTTGTGTACGTAGTATATTGGACCACGATTGACTTCATTCTAGTTGTTATGTCACAAATTATGCTCGTACATCTAAAGCTGAGATTTCAGATGAAAACAGAGAAACTTTCTCTCTCTACCAGATGAATGTGAAAACAATCTTTTAGTGTCAAACATCCAAGTGATGCAAGAACACATTTCAGAGTGTAAAAAACAACAACAACAATACACATTATTTCACAAAATAGGTTGCAGGCATCAACAGTTTCAACCTTCACTTGCTTCTGGGGCTTGGAACATGTTATCCCCCCCCCCCAGCAGGCTTATCAGTGTAGTGTAGCCCCACCACAGGCCTCAAAATACTGTCTCACTTTCAAACTGATTAACAGGCTGAGACTGAGGCATTTCACCAGGGTTAAGAAATCTTTCTAAAGCCTAATTTGAACACTCAAGTCCAGCTTATCCATGAAGAGTACGTTTATTTATTTTATTTTC